CATGATTCTATCTGTATGAGGTATCTAGTCATCAAACGTATAGACACAGAATAGAATGGTGGTTTCTAGAGGGTGGGAGTGGGAGAAAATGGGTAGTTGTTCAATTGGCATAGCATTTCATTTATGCAAGATGAATAATTTCTACAGATAAGTTATTAACTATAGTACCTATAGTTACCAATATATTATTGTTTACTTTAGAATATTAGGATAGGTTGCATGTTAAATGTTCTTACCACAAACACACACACACACACACACACACACACACACACAAAGAATACTAGAAAATTTTAGAAGGTGATGAATATGTTTATTATCTTGATTTTGGTGATAGTATCATGGATATATACATATGTCAAAATTAGTCGAGATGCATATATTAAATGTGTGTAGCGTTTTTGGATATCAATTGTATCTCACAAAGCTACAAATGAAGTCTTATTAACCATATATGCTATAATGATTTCTATCTCATAGGGCTAATTTGAGGATTAAATGTGTCTACACAAAGTTACTGCAATCAAAGTATTTCAAAGGATACTATTTAGGGACAATTGCTCTAAGCTTGTCTAAATCAGTGCCTCAGATATTCTTATGTGCATCATTGAGCTCCAACAGTAGACCCTGCCACATTCCCCATTCCAACTCATAAGAATGAGAATTGAGATCATTAGGATTAATTTTATGGCTTATTACATATAAACATTGATGCATATAACTCTATTTCTGAGTATGCATACCTTATTTGTTGTACTTGAATACCACAATATCATTTCAGTTATATGTACATCACAATCTTTACATGGTAAAGTATTTCAGTAGGACTACACTGAATAGGATTAAAAATCAGCTTGCCATCAAAACGATTCTTTAAATGAATAATGATTTCATGAAAATATTTGGTTTTAGGTAACCTGTGTGTAGCTAGGAAAACATTTTAATTATGCTTAAAATGTGAATTTTAGGACAATTTTGCTTGACATAAAGAAAGCTAATTATCAGTGCGATGTACCGGCATGACTAGTGTAAAAATATTGAAATGTTCTGTAACTAACCATTGGGTGTTGCTGTTGCTCACCCTTCTTAGCAGCCCCAACATTTCTTCTGCAACTATCCAGACTGTATGAGCCATCAAGTGAGGCATAGAAACATGAGGTTATACATAGGTCAAAACAATCATTACATAATTTTATTATTACCTCTGAAGATAAATATAACAATAAAAATGTTTCTCATATCAGTGAGCTCATGTTTAAATTTTTTGAATCAAAGTAGCTTGCATTTTTATGTATTTTATAACAATTAGAAATGAAATAATCTTTAATTGCCATTATTTGTTAAAATTATACTTCTACCTAAGGAAAATACATCATAAGCACTGAAATCTTTCTTTTATAATCAAAAAAATGTAACATTGAATGGCCTAAAATTATGTGATTAGAAGACGACAAATGGAATCACTTTTACAGAATCCTGGGGCTTTGAACAAAATTTGGGACATTTTACAATGTATGTTTCTCTTATTTCTGACAACTCTACCAAGTAACCGGAGATCAACGAAAAACTCTAATTTTAATTCTTCATTTGAATGGGTTCCAAACCAGGGCCTTGATGAAATTTAAGGATTTTGTTTATCCCCTCCAGGTTAGGCACAGACACATTCTGACATAAAGATTGATTTAGGTTCAATGAGTCAATCGAACACATTCAAGAAAAACCCTTTGGGAAAACAAAGCAGACCTAGCAGTCACTGAGACCAAGCTGCGAGCCAGAACACTCAGAGTGGAAAATAAATGTTCTTTATCAGAACCAAAAAGCGATCTGAAACTTATACAATTTTGGAGGTATTCTTTAATTTAAAAAAACACTCATGATTACAAATATAAAATAAGGCACAATATGTTAGAACAATCCCTTCTATGTAAAGAGGTTACACTTTAAACATATTAACTTCATAGCAAATTCATTTCTAGTCGCTATTATTTTTAACACAGAGCTGCATGAAAAATGGAAAATTTTGAAATTAATATAATTTCAACTGTTCTCCATATGGCTAATTCCATAATTTACTTAGGTAGGAGGCACACTTTAATTTTGTCAGAGAAGTAAAAATCCATGATTAAAAGTATCCAGTGACCTAGTTAATTTGAGATTTAATTTTCCAAAATTAAGAAAACATCTTATTGGAGGTGCTTGCTTTAATCCTTAAATCAATAGCATAACATTTTATTTATTCAAAGGTATAGACAATGGCTTATAAGCTGCACCTAATTCATAGTTTGATAAAAGAGTATTGTTTCTAGAGTGTCATTTTAAAAATAATAAATTTCTATAATGCTTAATTTTAAAGGCCAGTTGAAATAAAATGTTAAGTGATAATTACAGGACTTTCTATATTGTGCGTTTTGATTAAAAAACACAATTCTTAGTTGCTAATTTGATTTATGCATAAACCAACCTCTTAAGTTGATGTTAACCACAGGAAATAGATAAGACAAACTGACGGTTGTACTACTGAAAGACAGTCCAATATCAAATAATAGTGAAAATAAGTTTTGAAGTAACATCTTCTGATTTAAAATGAGTGGCCCAATGTGTGTTATGCAGAGGTCAAATAAGTTTAAAGATGTAAAGTTATAGTTTCGTACTAGTAAATGTTTAACTGGCTCCTGGAAGAAAAAAAATCAGGAAGCAAGCGCCTATTTATAACATAGTTTAATTCCCTGATGCAGTACTCCCACCTTTTTTTATTTCAATGTCCCGAAATTACGTCTACAAACTCACAAAGTTTATAAAAAATTAATATTCAGCTCTCATGAGCACTATTAGCTTTCTCCATCACACCACTGGATAGGTACTTTCCTAAGTATTAATTTGTGGTTGAGCAGAGTATTAGAGAACTAGAAACATGTGCATAATAAGGATTGGGAAAGGCAATAGAGGCTGTTGTTGAGGGAGCTGTTGAAATTATAGGAGAAAGTATGTGGTGTGTGTCTGCATATGTGTATGTAGCAGACAATTCCTCACAATGTTAACAGAATAATACAGTCACTAATTAGCATAATGTGGCTGAGAAAAAAAAACTTGGGGCAAGATTTTAATTACAAGATGACAATAAGATTATTTTATTATCAACACTCACTGAATCTTATGTACTAGATAAGCACTGGTGGTAAAAGCATGGCACCAGACTTAGATACCAGTTGTGTCCTTATTTTACATAACAAAGTAGCCACAGGATAATATACAACCTCTTGAAGATCAAGCTATTGTTAACTGGGTTAATAGATCTGGGTTTCAACACAGAGAGTCAATTATGAGAATATTCACTGCTAAACATTTGAATCAATTGTGTATATATTATAACAAATTTAAATTTTATTCTATACAAATAGAATGAAACAACATTGAAAACTATGTGCCAAGGCTAGAGACAATGAGTGAAGTAATGTGGAAGTATTATCAGTTCAGCTGTGAATCGGTAAGGCCTAAATTAGAATGATGATGGTAGCAATAAAAATAAGTGACGTATAAAAAGACATCTCTACTTCTTTTGGGCTAATGGTCAAATGCCTCCACTTCCTCCATTTTTATTGTAAAAACATATTAAAATGTTTTCAGTTGAGTAAATAAAAGCAAACAAAAATAACCTCTCAAATCTCATAATCGTAATATTTTATGTTTTAATTTTTTCCATATGCCTCCATACATACATACATTGGCACTTTCTCAATGTAAAAAATAATTACTTAAACAATTATAACATGTCATTATTTTTTTTTTCATTTGGTGAAATGGTCTTCAGTCATACCATTTCAATTACTGCAAAATATATACATTCTTCTATGAGGAATATGTATCATAACTGTTATGATTTATTTTATATATATACACACACTATAAATATATGGCAATGTATTCTTCCATGAAGAATATATACAATAATCTATTTAACTATTATCAAAATAATGGTCATTTGTTTCAACATTTCACCAATATAAATAACTAATGAAGATCTTTATACATACACATATATATAGTTTTGGGGGTAATCTCTATAGACAATTTATGCAGGGAAATATTTCTTCCATGCAAAATTTTCATGTCAAATGAGTATTTTAGCTCACTAGTGTTTACCTCACTAGCAGACAGTAACATGCATATTAAAACAGTGAAGCATAATTTTTTGCAATTTTTTTTTAATGAAAGCTCTCAAATAAGCGATTTTATTCCTCTCCATGATTGCAGACATTTACAAAACCATAACATCTGAGTTCACCTTAAAAAATAATTTATATAAAGCAGTGATATACACAGCACAAAAATAGTTCAGGGAGGGGGCAGGAGCAACTTGTAATAATTAAAATGTAAACATGAAAAAAAGGATGGAATAAAAGTCCCTACTTGTTTCTACTTAAGATGTCATGTGATAATATTTTACAATGTCCTGTGGGTCAGTGTATGTATGTGTACATGTCTGTATAACATACACATATACAGTACATTCTCTTTCCCACACATATACATACACACATAATTATTTGCAGTTCAGTTTAGGGCAATTCTAATATGCCACTCCATACAGTTGTTTGAATCACGTTTGGATCCGCTTTCTTCACAAAAGAGGGGAGAGAGCAGGAAATAAAAAGGTTGGTTTGGTGTGATTGAGATTGCTTTGTTTAACCGTACACTGTGATGAATAATTTTCTTCCGTAGTAGTTCTGTGAAGGGCTGACTCACTGTGGTTTTCATGAGGAGACTTGGTAATGGATCACACGCTCATTGTCATGCTAGGGGAGTAACTCTCACTCTGAAAAGGATTTAAGAAATTTCCCCCCATTTCGCCATCATCCCTTGGAGTGCCCGGTTGATTACTCAGGCTCATATTATTGGGAGAATTCTTGGAAATACTGTCCATATCTCCTGAGCCTAAAGAGCCATTCATGTGATGTGACTCCATTCCTCCTAATCCACCCATGGGACCATCTGACTGGGTTGACAGGTGCGTGACAGTGGGAGCTGCTCTTGGCACAAGCATGTACGGCAAAGGTAAGAGTAACAGCAGCGCCGTCCCGTCCGACAGCCAGGCCCGGGAGAAGTTAGCACTCTATGTATATGAATATCTGCTCCATGTAGGAGCTCAGAAATCAGCTCAAACATTTTTATCAGAGATAAGATGGGAAAAAAAAAACATCACATTGGGGGAACCACCAGGATTCTTACATTCTTGGTGGTGTGTATTTTGGGATCTCTACTGTGCAGCTCCAGAGAGACGTGAAACATGTGAACACTCAAGTGAAGCAAAAGCCTTCCATGATCATAGTGCTGCAGCAGCTCCCAGTCCAGTGCTAGGAAACATTCCCCCAGGAGATGGCATGCCAGTAGGTCCTGTACCACCAGGGTTCTTTCAGCCTTTTATGCCACCTCGGTACCCTGGAGGTCCAAGGCCCCCATTGAGGATACCTAATCAGGCGCTTGGAGGTGTCCCAGGAAGTCAGCCATTACTCCCCAGTGGAATGGATCCAACTCGACAACAAGGACATCCAAATATGGGTGGGCCAATGCAGAGAATGACTCCTCCAAGAGGAATGGTGCCCTTAGGACCACAGAACTATAGAGGTGCAATGAGACCCCCACTGAATGCTTTAGGTGGCCCTGGAATTCCTGGAATGAACATGGGTCCAGGTGGTGGTAGACCTTGGCCAAACCCAACAAATGCCAATTCAATACCATACTCCTCAGCATCTCCTGGGAATTATGTAGGTCCTCCAGGAGGTGGAGGGCAACCAGGAACACCCATCATGCCTAGTCCAGCAGATTCAACCAACTCTGGCGATAACATGTATACTTTAATGAATGCAGTACCTCCTGGACCTAACAGACCTAATTTTGACAATATTTTAATATAAAATCATAAAAATTTTCTATTAAAAATAGCAATATCCAGTAGTGATGACCATGCAGTCAAATGAGCACATGCTTACAATCTTGATTAGTCTACAATTTGTAAAAACTTGTCAAAATGTAGAAAATGTCATAATTTAGAGAGAAATTTAGGGAAATGCTGTAAATAATCTCTTTAAATATGATAAAAGACAAATATAACAAAAATTTCACAGATTTCTTTGAAATTTCACTTTAGAAATGTGCTTAGAAAGATGATTATTTCAGTGGTTTGAAAAAAAGTGAGAAATTGGAAAATATATAAATGTATAAACTAGAGACTCATTAATTATAGTATATCCTCATGATGAAAAGTTTGACCATTAATATAAAACTGCTGTGGAAATTTAATGAATGGCATGGGGGATTTCCAGAATACACTGTTACTAAATAAGAATTCATGCGATCAAATCCTATGAACTGCATAAAACTAATAATAAATCCATCTTTAACATGTTACAGCACTATACAATTGTTATTGTTCACTTTTTGTGGTAGGTATTTTGTAATCGTTACTTTTTATGTTTTTCTGCAATTTCCATTTTTCTATCTTGCACATGTATTGTTTTTAATGAGAAAATTATATTTTAATGTGTTGGACTCTAGATGCTTAAAAAGCACTTAATGATATTTGACATCTCTTCATAATAAAAATCTTCAATAAGCTAGGCATAGAAGAAACACACTTCAGCAAAATAAAGGCCATATATGACAAAGCCATAATTAACAACATATGAAAGGGGGGAAAATTGAAATCCTTTCCCCTAAGAACTGAAACAAGATGACGATGTCCACTTTCACCACTCCTATTCAAAATAGTACTGACAGTTCTAGTCAGAGCAATTTGGTAAGAGAAAGAAATTAAAAGTATCAAAATGAAAAAAGAGTAAATCAAATTGTCATATATATATATATATATATATATAGACATTGAAGGAGGAGAGTGAGGGATAAGAAATTATGCAATGAGAACAATATACACTATTCAAATGATGACTACACTAAAAGTAAGACTTCACCACTATGCAATATACGCAATAATAGAACTGCACTTATATCCCCTAAATTTATATGAACTTTTTAAAAAGAAAAAAACAATGAATATTTTTGTGTCCTTTATATATAACCAATTTCTTTTAAAAGAATCACACTGATTCTTACAGTAATGTTACTATTTCTGCTTCTTTTGTTCAAATATATTAATGTATTATTGCTTAGTCTTTTATTTTTAGTGTTCCTGTGCCATTTAGTTTTATATGTGTTTCATAAATATAGCATAGTTTGGGATTTGGCTCTTAATCTGTTCCAATAGACTTTGACTTTTAGAGAGCAATTTAAAGACATTTATGCATGTTTGGGATTTATTATGTCTGGCCCTGCATCTGACAGAATTTCTTTAATTTTTTAAAACAATTTATCTCTTTCACTCCCCTCTTCTCCACATTCTTTCTCTTTCTCCCTTTTGCTCTCTCATTTTTATTTTTTCTGTTCAATTCTTTCACTAATGTGGGCACTCCTTGAAGGCAAGGACTTTATTTTTGTGCCAAACACATGTACAAAACACTATAATTTCTGAATGAATAAATAATTCTATAGCTTAAAATTCAAATAGCTAATTGTCAATTCTGTCACACAGAATTATCTTATACTTTACTTAAATTCACAAGAAATGACTGAATATTGATATAATTTAAATTATATTTTTAGAAACATAAAAATCAAATACAGAACTTTATATGAAGCACTGTTGTTTCATTTTATCCATCCATATATCACTTAAATTTTTGTCTGCAACTCATGTCATTTTCCAAAAATATTACTTTACCTTGTACTATTTCAGAAATATGGAAATAATTAAATTTTCACCCATAATACTAGTGATCTTTTTTATTTAGTAATCTATTTACTTGTATCAATAACTGCACTAAGACTTAACCTAGCAGGGTTTTTTTTTTACTATAACATTCAAACTGAAGTATTCCGTTTCTTGTTTAGGCTGGTAGTGTTTTTAACATATTTCATGGGTTTTGTTTTGCAGGAAAGAAAGCCTCTGAGCTAATGTGTCCTCTGAGACCATAAATCTGAGAATACCTTTTTGTGGCTTTCTCAGAATATGACAGTTTGGATCCTGTCTTTTTGACACCGTGAGTTAAGTGATTCCCACATCACTGTTAAATCAATTGTTGAAAAAGAGGAGAAAACATAAAGACATGGTGTTTTTAACTCTTCTGAAATGGTTCCAGTCAAAAGAAATTCTGAGTAAGCTGAAGCTGATGATATAATAGGTTCCCCTATCTTATCCGATTTCTTATTGAAATAAAATTAAATTGATGAGCCCAAAGATTGAGAACTGACTTATCAGATCAAGAAAATAAGATATAGTTTGCCAAACTTAATGCTGATGTGCAATGCTTTTTACATTAATTCCTAGTGTCTGAAGACCCAGGGCCAGAAGTTTATAAGGCTAGCATTTCAAGTGGTATCTGGTTCTCTATATATTATTTTGCCTAAGGATGCTGGTTAAATGAGAGTAAAACAGTATACACAGCATTTGCAGGCTTGCCGATCTGATTGAAATTTCTGTCATTAAATATTTTCATTTGGAAATTAAATGTTTTGTTAGACTAAATTATATGTAACAATATGGCTATAATATAGTGAGTCTTCCTCTCTTTCTGTTTCTCTACACACACACACATACACACACACACACACACAGAGCTGTTATTTGATAATGTATATCAAATTACTGCTTATGTGATTTTATTTTATTAAATAAATGCTATCAGAATTGGTAGATGTTATCTTTCCATAATTTTCCTGTGGATTAATTAAAAATAAACTTCCTGGGGATTTGTAGAACTGAAATTCATTCACTTTGTTTCCTTATGCTCCACTTACAACATTTTTGTTTAATGCTTGACTTGGTTAGTGTTGACTCAATACCTATGATGCATTTTTTTGCATTTTAAAATGAACCCTAAGCAACTAGGAGGAGCTGCAGCTCCATGGTAAATTGTAATCTGTACTGAGAGTTCAATATTAAGAAACAGTTTAGAAAAATATGTGACATATAGAATTTAAGGTGCAGGCTTAATTTTACCTACTTCTCAACTCTTACCAATTATATATTCTATTCATAACACAAATTCTGTCATTATTCTTGATGATTAATATCTTGTAATTAAAAACATTTTGCTATACTTTTGAGATCTGCCCTTATTTCTGCTGCATTGATCCAATGCATTCATATTGAATTAATTTTTGCTTGAGCAGTTCACTATAAATACAATGAAAATCCATTACTTCATTTTGAAAAGCTAGATTGGATACATAAATTTCATTAGTCATTAGATAATTATCAATTCCACAGGTAATTTTTATAGATCCAACCAGATACATAATAATTTTTATTAAAAATTTACTATAACAAAAATACCCCAAATTTCATTACATGGTCTTTCAGATTTTGTGTACTGTGACTCTAATACATTTTACTTCTGTATAGCAGTGTTCTTTTACAGTACAAATTTACAGGGAAAATAAACTTATCATTAAAAAGTTGCTGGCAGTAAGACACTGGTTCAAAATAGTTTTTAACATATAGAGTTGTATTTAATATGTTTAAAAGCTTAGACTATGAAGCAAGTTTTCCCTTTTTTTCTCCTAATATATAATGTCTTAGTCTTTTTGTACTGCTATAACGATATACTTAAGCCTAGTTGATTTTTACATAAAGTAAATTTATTTCTCCCAATCCTGGAGGCTATAAAGCCCAAGATCAAGGTGCTGACAGGTTTGGTGCCTGGTAAATGCTGCTCTCTGTTTTCAAGATGATGCCTTGTTGCTGCATCCTAGAGAGGGGAAGAACCCTGTGTTCTCACATAATGGAAGGGATGGAAGGGCAAATAGAAAGGGCCTACCTTCCAGCCCTTTCATAAGGCACTAATTCATTCATGAGGGCAGAGCCCTCATGATTTAATCACTTTCCCCCAAATCACCACAATGGAGATTAAGTTTTAACACATGAATTTTGGGGGACATTCAGACTATAGCATATGCATATGGACATATGTGTACATGGAAGATCATTCTAAGTAGGGCACTTTAATTTTACTCACGTGATGTGTAACGCTATATAGTTGTTATGAGCTCAAATATGGAGTCAAGTAAACCTGATTAAGAACTCGGCTTTTGCTACTTATTAGTTCATGTGACCTTAATTTCGCTACAACAAATCCGTAAAGCAGTCGTAATATCTACTTTACATATTATTGCTATAAGACTAATTGTCATGATGTTTAAAATGGTCACACACTGTTATTATTATCTAGGAATGGGATAAGATAATTGGTGTCCCAACTTGGAACATGTGCAATAAAATTTACCCATAAAAAGTGAAATAATAAAAATGTAACTTGTGGTCTATGATTTCTGAGTGTTCTGCAATTCTAACAGAGGATTATATGAAAATTAACAATAAAAGATAGGATTTGAGAATTTCTTCTTCTTTACATTTGAATTAATGGGTTGATTCCCAACTAACAGGCCAAGTGATGGGAGGAGAACATTTTAGATTCCTTCATATCCACGTTTTCAATTTCCAAGGGAAAGATGGCACAGGACTTCCAAACTAATGGATAGCCCTTAAATGTATGATTAGTTTGTTGTGGATAACACAGAACCCTCATTGTTCTTTGAGAATTAAAGGTAAATCCATAGGGTATAGAATCATAAAGCCACTGGTATCAAATATTTTACTATAAGAAAAAAAGAATGTAGATGGTAACAAGTGTTAACTGATTGCTTAAATGATTTTATAATTGACCTTACCCCATTAAATATGATCTTTATCACTATAATTTAGAACTGTGCTGTCCAATACTACAATTGTTCAGCACACACATAGATACTTAAATTTAATTAAAAGTAAATTGAATTTAAAATTCAGTTATTTAGTCAGACT